GTGTACGAGCGCATCCTGGGCCTGCGCATGGCCCTGGGGTGTCCCCAAGACCTTGAGGTGTCCCCAAGACCTTGAGGTGTCCCCAACTCCCCTGAACTCCCTAGTTGTCCATCAGGGTCCCCCTTAGGGTGTTCCCAAGACCTTGGGGTGTCCCCAAGATCTTCAGGTGTCCCCAGCACCTTGGATGTTCCCAAGACTTTTGATGTCCCCAAGACCTTGGGGTGTCCCCAACCCACCTGGGCTCCCTGGTGGCCACACGGGGGTCCCCGTGGAGGTCCCCATGGGTGTCCCCATGGGTGGTGACGCCGCTGTSCCCCTCAGTCCACGCAGGCGGTGTACGAGCGCATCCTGGACCTGCGCATCGCCACCCCCCAGATCGTCATCAACTACGCGCTCTTCCTGGAGGAGCACGGCTACTTCGAGGAGAGCTTCAAGGTGGCCGCRCGGGGGGACCCGGGGACATGTTGGGGATGGGGACGCCATGGGGCACGGGGACACTGTGGAGGATGGGGACGCCTGGAGACACGTGGGGCACTGGGGCACCCAAGGGGTTAAATGGGGCCACCATGGTCAAGAGGGCACCCGAGAGGGTTGGTGGGGCCACCATGGTGAAGAGGGCACCCAAGAGAGTTGATGGGGCCATCATGGTCAAGAGGGCACCCAGGAGGGTTGATGGGACCACCATGGTGAAGAGGGYACCCAAGGGGGTTGGTGGGGTCACCATGGTGAAGAGGGCACCCGAGAGGGTTGACAGGACCACCATGGTGAAGAGGGCACCCAGGAGGGTTGATGGGAACATCATGGTCAAAAGGGCACCCAAGGGGGTTGATGGGACCACCAGGGTGAGGAGGGCACGCAAGGGAGTTGATGGGACCACCATGGTGAAGAGGGCACCCAAGGGGGTTGGTGGGGTCACCATGGTCAAGAGAGTGCCCAGGAGGGCACCCAAGGGGCATTAACGGTACCATGATCACGAGGGCACCCAAGAGGGTTGACGACRCCCACCCATGGGTGAACCCCCACACATTGTCCCCCGCTAACGCAGGCCTACGAGCGGGGCATCGCGCTCTTCCGCTGGCCCAACGTGGCCGACATCTGGCACACCTACCTGAGCAAGTTCATCGGGCGCTACGGCGGGCGCAAGCTGGAGCGGGCGCGCGACCTCTTCGAGCAGGCGCTCGACGGCTGCCCCCAGAAATACGCCAAGAGTGGGTGCCCCACGCCCC